AGAATAATCACTGTGAAAAACCATATCATGTTGCTGCTGATCTGTTTCATGTTGCTGCTGATCTGTTTCAATGTTGATGTGTTCATGCGTGCACATCTGCTCACAGACTCATGTTCATGTTTGTGCTGATGTTCAATGTTTTATGTTATGAGTGCTTAGTGTATATTTAGTTGATGTTTTTCTTAGTTCATATCTTAGATCTTATTACTGTTTTTCTTATACATTTTATTGTCGGATGTAACTGGGACCTTGTGTACATAATTTCGCTCCACCACATGTACCACATGAGGTGCAAATGACAATAAAGAAACTCTGACTCTGACTCTGATAAATTAAAATTATCGACCTCACTTTTATTTATCAGCTTTACCGTTTCTTCGTGTCTCTCTCTTTCTACTGAAGACACTGGATGACAAAAAGCTCAACTGGTGTTTGTCACTGACCCCTCCCTTTCTCCTTTCTCTTTAAAATATGTTTTAACCATCCAAAATCATGTTTTTGGATCGTTGAAAGCAGCTAAGCTGAGAAGCTAAGCTACGAGCTAAGCTAACAGGTCGAACTCGGGGAAAAAACCTCTGTCATGTCGAAGCTCTAAAATTCATGGTTGAAACCCGTGCCTTTGTGTAAAAAGTTGTTTTTCTCTGCAAAAAGAAGCTGAGAACTTGTTTACTAATTTTTTATTAAACGTTTTGTGTGAAAAATGCTTTGCTAAAGAGCTCAAATCACACAGAGCGTCCGCCATTTTGAGAACCGAAAAAAGGAAGGAGAGACAACCTATGTCACTTTAAGAGGCCTCCCTCCCATTTTTCTTAAAGAGACACGCTGCTCGCTCTCTCACTATCCATCCTTCGGCTCAAACAGTCTCACACTGCCATCCAGTGGTCGAAAAAAGGTACTACACTCAAAACAAATTAACGAACATATAGTCTTAAATTTGACAATTATTACTAATTATTGTCAAATTTCAAACATTATCGTTTATCGCAATAATTTCTGAGACAATTAATCGCCCAGAAAACGTTATCGTGACAGGCCTAAAGTCCTCATCACCATCATAACATGCAGTCAACACATAAATAAACAAAAAATTTGCTTTGCTATTGCTAACTGATAATTGCTAACTGTTAACTGTTATCATACACTGCTGTCGCTGACACCGTAAGACTGTCTGTAATGTGACAACATTGTAAGTGAACACAACTTGGTTCACAAATCACACTCAGAAGTGAGCTTTCACAAATTAATATGGTCCAGCAGAAACAAAAGAGGCGGAGTGATGTTGGACATCTCCCTCGTATTAATTACTAACAAGCTATACCTCAGTGGTTTTGAATGTCTTTACAGACAGTTCGATAAAACAGTAGCATGGAATAATAACTTAGAAATATATAAACAAGCGGCCTGCTGATTATCTTTAAAAAAAAAATAAAAAAATCAAGGACTACCTCCAAATACCTAGTTCGGCACTAGTTTGTGCATGTGCCAACGTAGACAGAAGTGACGATGCGGGTCCTCATATACAAAGACTTGTGTGGATTTCCTACTGAAACGTGGCGTACGTTTAAATTACAACAACTGCGAATGCACAAATAAATCCAAATGTATGAAACAGTGCGCGCACACACTTCCTTTGTACAGCCGAATCAACGTGGAACTGAGCACACATGAAGGAACACCCGGCTCCTCCCTTGACACGCCTACATCTAAATATGTAAAATAGATGCAAATATGTTTTGCATGCGGGATTTTCGTCTCTGCATGTTAAATATTTATGTCTAGATGCAGCAGGGATCTGCAGGTGGAGCCTTTCCAAGGCATTTCCAACTTTACACACGTGATTAATAAATAATTACTGTAAACACAGACGCACTCAGGAGCTTCGTAGAACTTAGACGCTTATTCTTTAAATAGATGTGACAAAACAAGTCAAAAATCAACTAAATTCATATTCCACGGTTTGGGGAAGTTTCATATATCAGGGCATCATAAGGATGAAGTCATCCCATCCAGCTGGAATGGCACGGCTCAGGGACAACTGAGAAATACCTGATCAGAATTTGGTCGGTGTGACCCCTGAAAACACGCTGCCTCCCAGTTCTTCTACTGGTGTCGTCCTCCTGCAGCACCACAGCCGTCACTGTTCCACAATCATGTACAACTTTATTTATGGACATACTGTATGTGTGATGGTGTACATTGTCGACCTGAGGAGTCATCAGAGATGAGTTGTTCTGAACTAATTTGATGATCTGACATTGTTTTCTTCTCAGTGAGAATGAAATGCATCTTACACAGCTCACACTAATACTCCTCATCTGTCTGACGCCATCACTTGTGTTTACTTCTACATGTGACAAAAAGCTTTACGGTTTACCATGAAATGTTTGAGGCGTGTTAGATGTTCTGTTGTTTGAAATTAAATGTGTTTCGGTTTCCTTGTTTGGAATTAAACCATAAATGTTCACACTCGTGATAAAAACATTGCGATTGAATATCCTTTAAGAAAAACAAACTTAGTCATGTATCTGTGTATTTACGCGAGTTTCAGTACAATTGTAGTCTGATACTGTGGATAAGATCATTTAACTTTATTGATCCCGCAGGAAACTGTGGAAAAGGTTTGCTTGGAGATAAACACATTCTCAAGGTAGGTCAAAAATGTGCATGCATTTTTTTTTTTTTTTTTATTTAAACAATATTTGCTTACAATTAGACCTTCAACTAATCAAAAGGCAAAAACAACAATATGGGCTCGTTCCCAACTTTTGGAGATCTTTTGTATTAGTTTTTTTTTTTTTACATGAGCACATATGGCACATATGTTACATATTGTACAATTGTTTTATTGCTGCAATAATAATGTGACAGTAATTTTCCTTGATTTATTATTTGTTCAATATATATGCTCCCCCTGGCCATTCGTCTCTTCTTTTCATTGCAATGTTCAATTGTGTTGTTGTTATTCTGTGATAATACAAATAAAGTTTTTGCGAGAATAAAGAAATGTGCGTAAACTTACGCACACTTTCAGGCAACGTTCATTTTTTTAAATATCCTGACATATTTCATGAAAACTAGCGCACGCGACCTTTTTATGCGTACACACGTTGATGCACCTGGTGAGGCTCCTCAAGTTAAAAAAAAAAATATGTAGGTACGTTAAACAAGAAAAACTATTACCTTGACAGAGGAAAAAGACACAGCAGGTGGAGAGGAATCGTAGAAACATTTTTTTTTTTTTTTGGAAAGGAGTAAAGGTGAAGGTGAAAACGCAGCCTTCGCGTGAACTTCCACTTTGTGACTTGAGCAGGTAGTTGACCGAGATGCAGGAGCAGCGTCACGTCACGGACAAAAACGTAAAATAAATAAACATTTTCTCTAAAATAAGTCGGACTTTTAAAAAATAAACATTAAGCTGGAGTTGAAACGGGAAGAGTTGAAGAAAAATCACCTTCCTCGCTCGTTGTGACGTACCTGAAAAACACCTGAGCTTCCGGTATTTCGGTCTCCAAACCCTTCACAATAAGAGTCAGTATTTGTTCAGTTAAAATAAGGACAATTTTCTCTTTTAGGAAAATTAACTTGTATGAATAGTTTGAATCTGCTGTGTGCTCAACTATTTTTTTTCTTAGGCCTACATTTTTACAACTCTGTAAGTTGTAGTTTGTTTTTCTTCCCCACACATTTTCCAAAGTCAGTATGCCTGTAGTAGTTAGATCACCTTGCTTGTCCAAAAATCATACATTATTTACAGTACCTTAAGTTTGATCTTTGACCGGAAATTACCTTATTTCGCAATCGTATGACTATTTTCTGAGGCATGTGATATGTTTTATGGAAGCCCATTTCCGCCATGTTAGAAAAAATAAAAGCCCAAAAGGAAGTCATAATTTCGACTTTTAAAGTCATAATTATGAAAATAAAAGTCATAATTATGAGAATAAAAGTCACAATTATGAGTTTTAAAGTCATAATTACGAGAATAAAAGTCATAATTTCGACTTTTAAAGTCATAATTGTGAGAATAAAAGTCCTAATTATGAGTTTTAAAATCATAATTATGACTTATACTTGTAATTAGGACTTTAAAACTTAATTATGACTTCCTGTTTGGCTTTTATTTCATAGTGGAAATGGGCTTCTATATTAAATGCTATATAAAGTGGTGATGAAAAGATGTAAACATTACATACCTTTATTTAAAAGGATTGCTGTATGAAGGCAGAGGGACATACATTGAATGAATGAATGTGCTATGCAGGAAAACTACCGGTGTCTGACAGGAAGTTACATCCCTGTGTTAGGATTTGTGGTTAGCAGCGAACCCAGAGTGCAGAACAGGGACTCAACTCGGCAGATATACAAAAAATATGATTTAATGATAAATAAAAAGTACAAAATAAATATGCTGACGGGGCAGCCAAACTTACATAAACAAGGAGGGAGGCACGGGGAACTCAGGAGACACGAGGAACTCGAGGAACCAGGAAGAAAAGGAGAGACTCAGGAGACTCAAGGAAGCACACCCAACGAAGACGACCCGACAAAGGACAAGACAGAATAGGGAGACTTAAATACAAGGAGAAGACGAGACATGATGACAAACAGCTGGGACGAGACACAGGTGGCAACAATGGAAACTAACGAGGAGCACGAGGAAAACAGACACACCGGGCCACAGAAAACTAACATCCTTACACCCTGTAGAGTGACGGTGTCTGGCAAGGACACAAACTTAAATATTAAATTAGAAAAGTCTAAATTATGACTTAAAAACTCAGTGGGGAGTGGTGGCACAGAGGCTAGAGAAGGTGGGCCTGTGATCGGAAGATCGCCGGTTCAAGCCCCGGTACCGACAACATCAAAAATGAGGGTGGGGTAGGTGAAGCACCCACACCTGCCCCCACCCTCATTTGTCCCACGCTGGGCCCTCGAGCAGGGCCCTTAACCCTCACCATCTGCTCCTCCGGGTGTCCTATATAGCAGCTCTCTGCTCCACAAAGAGGGTTGTGGTAGCTCAGTGGTCTGTGGTTGCGTCAGGAAGGATATCCGGTGTAAAAATAACTGCCAAGTCTTTGTGCGACAGTTCTCTGTGGCAACCCCTGAAGAAAATATATATATATAATTATGACTTTAAAACTCGAAATTATGACTTTTATTCTCATAATTACAACGTTAAAACTTGAAATTATGACTTCCTGTTGTGCTTTTATTTTTTTCTTTCATGACGGAAATGGGCTTTCATAGTTTCCGGTTCTAGACTTCAGACGTTTAAAGAAAATCTTTTACAGAATTTAAATCCTATAATGTTTGTAGAGAATATACAAATGATTATTATTTGAGCATAATTAAAATGCTTGATATTATCGCATTTATGCATAAAGTTGTTTTTTCAACATGCATCCAGAGTTAATACAGCACATGTATTTGTTATTACTATATAATATTTAATTATGAATCATAAAGTTTAAATAATGTAAAATTTAATATAAAACACTGCTTTAGAAGTCAGATGCAGTGCAAAAATAAATATTCAGCTAGTGTTTCTTAAACTAATTGTATTTCACTCTAGAAATGTCTTGAATTAAAGATTAATACAGCATTTATATATATGATTTCTGAAATCACACATTTTTTTTTTATCCCTCAAAGAGAAGCATGATGGGAGGAAACCAGAAAACCTCTTTGCAGTTGAAAAACCTTAAAACTCAATGTTTTCTAAACTTATGAGTGCTTATTAAAAACACAAAAACACACTTGCAAGATGGCAACTTAAGAAAAAAAGCTGCTGTTTTCTGCATCATTTGTCTTTTTAGAGTTTATAGTTCACAGAGGCCAGTGTCATTGGCACTCTGACTGGGGGGTTATCCTGTGAATGTGTGTGTAGGACTTCATGAGGGTCACACTGCCATGGTGAGACACCCCCATTGGTAAAACACACTCCTCTGTCAACGCTCCTCTGTCCACATCCCAGCACATCACGGTGGAGATGACTTGGTTCTTGTTGTCCCTTCCCCCGGTGATAAAAAGTTTGTTGTTGCACGCCGCAATGGCACAACTTGCCCTCTCCCCCAGATTGGTCACAAGAGACCAGGAGTCGGACAGAGGGGAGTAGCAGTACATGGCATGCATGGCACCACCTGAAAACACACACAAAAGAGAGTCAGCATATTAATTTAAAATAAATAGCATTCATTTTCAAAGAATTGTTGCCTTTTGAATTATGAATTATAGGCTTATCCATCCTTGAATAGCTCTGTCTCAACATATTTGGATCTTGTTTGTATTTTTAATGCATGGCAGATTTTCTATTTGCAGTTGTGCATGTAGTGACATTTATAACTCATTAATGTATCCCTTACATGGCTCCCAAACCTTTTGGTTTCAGATCCACAAAATAATAATAATAATAATAATGTCATCACAATGTCAGCACTGTATGTTTCCATACAATGGCGAAATTAGTCTCTGCATTTAACCCATCCACCACCAGGTGGTGCAGTGGGCAGCTATTGAAAGCGCCCGGGGGACATTTTGGGGATTAGACGTGCTGCCCAGAGACGCCACGTGATGTGCAGTGACTGGGGATTGAACCTGGGACTCTCGGGTCCCAAGCCGGCTGCCCTGCCTCTACACAAAATAACAGCAGCAGAAAGCTGTGACACTTAATAACTTTGATTAAAGTCTGCAAACCAGGCCATAACTTATTAACTTGATGTAGACTCTCCCATTTTTAATTCACTTCTTGGTCTGCTGCCTTCATTCATCTCCTCCTACATGTTTCATGGGTGCAGCTACAGCGTGCACTTTCAGGACATCATTACCTGCAGTGTTCCCTCAGTGAGGACTGAACTAGTCAAAAGGACCTTCTCCTACTCCGCTCCTGTTTCCTGGAATATCTTGCAAAAAGATCTGAAGCTCTCGACCTTGACCTCTCTATCTTTAAACATCGCTGTTCCTGCAAAAACCAATGCAGACATTCTTGTTTTTAGTTTTCTACATCTCCTTACAACCTAGCTGTTTTTTGTTTCATTTTTAATACCCTTTTCTTTCATTTGTTTCTCAATTTGTATGCTTTCTTTTATGAGTGTCTATTGTTGTCATTGTTGTGCACTGTTGTCATCACTCTTTGTTAAAACCAGGTCTCTCTTGTAAATGTGTCCCTGAGGCTCAATGGGATTAACCAGTATAAATAAAGGTTGAATGAACAAGGATAGCAACCATTCTTAAATCAATATTATTAACTACAAATTTTAACATTGCATAAAAACTATGGCAAAAAGGGTAATTTTCAATCATTTTTCCATTTGAAAATCATCTCAAGACTCATTCATTCAACCTTTATGTATACAGTTAGTCTCATAGTCACAAGGACTCATTTTGAAGAGAGACCTGTTTTAGACAACTAGATAAGGTGCAAACAACAATAAACAATACAGTAAAATGCTTATAAAATAAAAAAGTAGTGTTATAAACAATACAATCAATGTGCCTTATAAACAAAATAAAATACTAAAAACAAGAACATGTTTGCTTTGATTTTTCTAATGATCTTATCAATTGTTTAAAATCACTTAAAGAGATCAAAGTAGACAAATTCAGATCTTTTTGCAAAATGTTCCAGGTTATAGGAGCAGAGTTATAGAAGGCCTTTTTGCTGAGTTCAGTTCGCACTGAGGGGACACCGTAGGTATTGATGGCCTAAGAGTGCATATTGTAATTGCACTGACAACGTCATGTGGGAGAAGATCTATGAAGGTAGCAGACCAAGGAGTGATTTAAAGATGAAACTGTACCAGTGTGAGCCTGCATGAAGTTAATGATGACCAATTAACCAGTGAATACAGAATGCAGAGATGAGTACAGTAGTTACAGCCAGGTATGAATCAGCGCACCATTATAGACAGCGTCCAACATCTGCAAGGTGCTGGCAGGAGCATGGATGTAAATAATGTCATCGTAATCAATGGCTGATATGAAAGTAACAGCTACAAGGTGTTTCCTGGCATTCAGAGTTACACAAGATCTATTTCTGAAAAAGAAACCCAGTTTTAACGTCAGCGTCTTTGTCAAGTTTTTGACATGAAGCTTAAAAGAGAGATGTGCATCGACCCAAATTTCCAAGTATTTATAAGAATCCACAAACTCAATAGGAACACCATGCATGGATAAGATAGGAGGATGTTGTCACCAACTTTCTGTTTGAAAACAGCATCCCTTTAGCTTAACAGCATTTAGCACCAGTTTGAGACAGAACAAGTCTGACTGAATGATGTCAAATGTAGACTGTAGAAGCTGGAAAACCTTAGCAGCGACTGTTTTAGCTCGACAATAAACAATTGTATTGTCGGCATAGAGATGTAAGAAGGCATCAGGTATGTTCTGACCTACATAACTTACGTAAATTGTAAAGAGAGTAGGTCCTAAAACTGAGCCTTGTGGTACACCATTATTGACAGTTAAATAGCTAGAAGTGCCATTGTGTTGAACACATTGCCTTTGACCTGATAGATAATTAGAAAACCGTCTGACAATGTGATCTGAGAAACCAATATCTGAGAGCTTATGACATAAGATGGCATGATCTATGGTATTAAAAGCTTTGGACAGGTCTAAGTAAAGTGCAGCACAGTAATCTTTAGCATCCAATGCTTCGACAACATCATTACAGTAAAAACCTTCAACGAAGTGGTCATTGTGCTATGTTGTTTCCTGAAGCCAGATTGGTGGGAAGATAAAATGTTAAAAGAATCCAAATACTTTGACTTAAGCATTTACCAATTTTTCTAAAACATTAGCTAAAATACAGAGTTTGGAAATTGGTTAATAATTGTTTAGTATAGTGGGGTCTCCACCCTTTAGTAATGGTAGAGCAAAAGCTGATATATTTAAGCTCATACATTTCTTGTTTTGCAATCCAAGACCCAAACATTTGGAGTCACAACTGTAAGCCTAGTTCAATGTCTTTACATCACAATTTGTAAGCTACCTGTAGACAAGAATATCTGTGGAATTCAGTTTGTTTTGGTGCCTTATTCCTTTTGTATCAAGAATGCTATATTATCTACACAAAACAATAAAACTCAGAACATCTTTTTGAGTTTATGTCTAACATTTGTCTTAAAACTATATGTTCTCTCTTGTTGCTTTGTTTAAGATTGTCCACTCTTTTGAACTTACCAACTATATAAATGCAGTTCTTGAATGTAACAGCGTTGGTGCATTTGGTCTCGATTGGAATGGGTGCCCGCAGCTCCCAGTTGTCTGTCCCTGGTTCCCAGCGCTGAACTTTATCTGTTGCTAGTTTCCCATTGGGACCACCACCAATCACAAAGATCCATCTATCAAAGGTTGCTGCTGCAAATGAGCTGACTCCCATAGCAAGAGGTGTTGCCTGCAGCAAGCCCAAACAGCCAAGGGTTAAGACATGGCACTAAAATTCTGGAAATATTTAGTATAAAGGTACATGTACCTGTGTCCAGCGATTGTGAAATGGATCATAGACCTCAACACTGGCAAGTCTCTGAACTCCATCAAATCCTCCCAGTGCATATACCTTCCCACCATGAACTGCCATCTTGTGCCTCCAGCGTCCACTTGACAGAGACTCAATTTGAATCCATTTATCGAGAGCGCCGTTGTATTTCCAAACATCGTGCTGTGTCTCTTTGCCTCCTAAAACGACAAGATTGTTTAGGAAACCTGTCCCCTTTCTGTTCAGACTTAATTTTATTAAAATATCCAGTAGGTTGTTCATAAAGGTGTCTGCAACAGGTAAGAATCTGTTTCAAAAGTTGTCCCTAAAGGCTTTAAATGAATGAACTTTCACTTTAAGTTTGCAAAACCTTGTGACGGTCTCAATCTGTGCAGTGTGCATCATCCTGAGCCGTTAAGTACAGCCGAGGTGTCAGTTCCTGGGTTGGAAAACACCCCAAACCACAGTAACTGTTAGTGCAGATACTGTCACGTCTTCCTGTTGTTCTCTTCACGTTTATTCTCTCAACTTTTATACGGAAACAGCTTTGATTTTACAACAGCCCAAGATAAAAAACAATATTCATTATATAGAACTTGAATTTTTGTAAACTAATTTTCCTCACAAATGTTCATGAAGTAGTTCTGTGGCAAACATGAGCCCGTCCTCTCACCAGAAATGTAGACTTCATTCTGGAAAGTGATACAAGAGAACTCCACCCATTTTTTGTTTTGGGTTTCATCCTCCATTTCTGTCATTGGCAGCCTGGCCACCTCCAGCCGGCTGCGTCTCAGAGGGTCCAAACATGTGACCGTGGAAATGAAGCGTTCGTCTTTAGAGCAGCCTCCAACGATCAGGAAGACTTCTGATAAAAAGTGCTGCACACGAGGTTTCGTTCGCTCCGAGACCACCTTTAAAACAGACATGTATAAATGTGTTGCTAAGCAATAAATCATGAATGATTGTGTGTAATATTACAGGGTAGTAAGTATACTGACCTCCCTGCCAGAGAGGTGAAACATGCGGGCCTCTTGCAGTAAAGAAAAGGCCTCACTGCAGCGACGTATCAACTCATCTGGCTCCACTTTCTCCACAAAGTATGCTGGCTCCAACAGAGGCAGTCGCACATGTGACAGCAACCTGGTCAGTAACGGATAGCGTTCATCCTGCCGGGCTCTCAGCCAGTGCATCAGGGCTTCAAAAACACACTCCTCACACTTCACGTCCAGGTCATCCCGCTGCAAGATGACCTCCAGAGACTCTGCTGGCAGCTCCACGAAGTCCTGCTGCTGGACCACCTGAGAGAACTGAGACGTGATGAAGTCCTGAGCCCTGATCCTCAAGCCCGGCAGAGCGTGGCTGTCAGCCAGGTTCAGAATCTCGATGCAGCTCTCTAGATGGATGGACTTGCCTAGAAAGCTGGTACAGGCATCGACAACTCGCAGGAACTGAAACGAGAATATTAGCACGTCTCTTAGCTTTTACTGATAACCAACACAATATATTTAGAAAGTGCAGCGCTTGGCGAGGATGATTGCCTTTGTGTTGCATCATCTCTACTTTAAGAAAACTTTTTCATTCTGAGTTCATCTTTAAGTGTACAAGATATGCAAATAGGTAGCATCATAAAATCCCATATGATGACTTTTGAGATGAGTGGTTGCAACAAACTACGTGGTTTCTGTTCCTTTAACACAGAAGATGAATCAGTGATCGAGAATTTCCATAAAGCGTTTTAAATGTTGATTCATTAATCATTAAACCACGGGATGTTTTCTAATTCAGACAAGGCATCAAAGATTCATGGTCTTTATTACCCACTGCCATGGCAATACTGCAGGTAATAATGCAATACCTATGTCTGTGCATTTTGTATTTATTTATTGTTTTGATCACCAAGTACTCCATGAACTACTGGATTAATTTTAATCAAATGTTCATAAAGTAATCACTGGACGTACATCTACAAATGAAGTGCTGTTGTCCGACGTATTGTTTTTGTACTAGTAGTGCTTAGCGTATTCTTAGTTTAGCATATTTCTTAGTTCATATCTTAGATCTTATTACTGTTTTTCTTTACAATTTATACTTTTGTTGGATGTAACTGGGACCCTGTGTACAATTTTGTTCCACCGCGTGTACCACATATGATGCGATTGACAATAAAGAGACCTTGACCTTGAATACCATGTAGTTTAAATCTAATTTGAGAATACCACCACAGCTATTCAATCATAGCAAACACAAAAATAACAACAACTCAGTCAGTTTTACAGACTGTGAGCAATATTTTGTGTGATAGTTGTAGAGGGCTAAGGAATCGCATACTACTGTATGTTTGTTTCAAACTTTGGCATGCAAGATGGTGGGTGATATGCATCATATCGCAGAAATATAGTTTTTGATTTTTATTTGTATTTTGTTCAAGTCAAAATGCAAACTGGGTATAGGTGCAGACAGTGGCATTGACAAAAAGACAGGAAATAGAACTGGAAGTGACAGAAATTAAGATGTTGAGGTTCTCCTTAGGAGTGACAAGGTTGGATAAAACTAGGAGTGAGATCATCAGAGGTACAGCACAGGTTGAACAACTGGGAGACAAAGTTAGAGAGGCCAGACTGAGATGGTTTGGACATGTCCAGAGGAGGGACAGTGGGTATACTGGTAGAAGGATGTTAGAAATGCAGCTGCCAGGGAAAAGACAAAGAGGAGATATATGGATGCAGTTAGAGAGGACATGAAGGTAGTTGGAGTGAGGATACAGAGGACAGAGAGATGGAGGAGGATGACTCACTGTGGAGGGAACAGCCAAAAGTAGAAAAAAGAAAAAAGAGTTCAAATATATTTTTGATCAGTCAGACTGTTTGTCTCTTATTAAATGTAATCACAGTCCACAGTTCAAAAAATAAATACAATCTAACAATTCACTCTGCAGCAGCAGGCAACTTGTTAAATACTGTTCCTTCTGATTATCAGCACTTGCTATCTGAAAAAAATAATCATACCTTTATGAGAAAATAATTCCAACACTGACAGTAATTTCCAGAAGTAAGTGCTGCAGAACTGCTGATATTTAAACTATTAACCTTATTTTACTTCCTGCTTTGTATGGAAATAGTTTTGCTTTGGGCTGACCTGCTGCCATAATTTGTTTTCATTGTTCCAACTTGTGCTCATAAATCTTCCTTTCTTTAAAGATTCTTCAAATCGTGTGTTATGCTCCTCAATGTGTATGTTTCGCCACCTTAACACTAGGACTCCCAGCATTTTCAAATGACTCCTTCTTCTACCAGAGACTGTCAAATGGCAGTTGGAGTAATTTGCATCCCATTAGACCACCTTTTGTTGTGTACAGGTAATGCTGTCCCAGGCAAATGCTAAACGGGGGGATGGGTGATAGTGTGAACGATGTTGATACTCAGATGGAGAAGAAAAAACCCTTGATTGTATCCACCTCCAGGTGGATAAAAAGCCACGTCACAACATATCTAAAAAAGTTAAATCTGGTCCTCTGGACATTCAAAAAAACCAAAACAAAGCAAATCAACAAAAAAAATGTAGAAACGTTTCGTCTCTCATCCGAGAGACTTCTTCAGTCTGAAGCGCTGTATTCAGCTCAGTCTCTTAAATAGCACCTTCTCAGAGTGGATCAACCAGTTTTGCTGCTGACAACCAAAACCAGCTGATCACATGCTCAAGAAGGACCATCAGCCTAACAATGGATCATTAGCACACTGATGGCTGTTTACTATTCACAGAGGGCTGAGTGATACTAGCAATCACAGCATTGTAAGAGGGGGACAGTTGAACCCGGAGGCCTCCACCCCTGTTTAACGATGGACGATTTCTTTTCACAAAGATGGCCTCCTTTACTTTTCTCTCAAACCATCGTTCCTCTCTGTCCAGGATGTGAACATCTTCATCCCTGAAAGAGTGACCGCTGGCCTGGAAATGAGTGTAGACCACAGAGTCCTGGCCTGATGATGTTGATCTTCTGTGCTGGGCCATCCTTTTGGCCAGTGGCTGTTTTGTTTCCCCGATGTAAGACTGATCACAGCCCTCCTGACACTGAACAGCATACACAACATTGCTCTGTTTGTGCCGGGGGACTGGATCTTTGGGATGAACCAGTCTTTGCCGTAATGTATTTTGGGGTTTAAAAGCCACTGGGACGTTATGTTTAGAAAATAAACGTCTCAGTTTCTCTGATACTCCCTCAACATATGGAATGACCACTGGTCTGGGTCTGGGTTCCTCCTTTTCACCTGTTGGCTG